AAAAAAAAAAAAAAAAAAAAAAAAAAAAAAAAAAAAAAAAAAAAAAAAAAAAAAAAACTAAAACGGAGAGAAAATAAGCGAACACGCACAACAATATGCCGTACACCGGCGTTTAATCGTCAGCATCCACGCGCGCTCCTCTCTCTCTCTCTCTGTCCCTCGCGCCCAACTGGCGGGTGTCTATATTAAACGCATTAGACACCGAGCACTCGGCGTCGACGGTAGTACTATTTTTCTACAGCTCGTCGATTTCAGCCGATTTTTCACACGGATATGTATTTTACAATTTGACATGCAGCTATACATTTAGTACGCACTTTTACTTGAAAACATATATATTATATGAATATATACTTGACGCGACGTTATACGCTTTTGTCGGAACGTCTTTCGTATGCTTGAATGTACGACAATAGAAATGTTTGCCGAGATGATTGTTTCGCTGCCTTTTACACGCTTACCTACTAAGTATACCGTATTTCCTTGTTTGTAGTGACGCTATTGGTTTTTCTCTTACGGTTCCTCACTGCACGCGTATTCAAACTGTATGTACATCAGGAGTTGATTGATTGTGCGTTGGTAAACACTTTTCGATGAACAATAGCTTGTGCATTGCGTTGTAAAAGGAACAAACGCAAAAGCTCATTTGTTTTTCAAAGAAGGACCGTCATCGAGTTGGGGAAGAAAAAAAAACATTATTTAAACGAATTAACGAAAGGATCGTGCAAACGGCACCCCTAGAATCAATTCTAGCGAAACTGGAGGCTCGATTAATCGTCAAATAAGGAGCGGAGAAAGAAAAGAAACGAGTATAACGAAAGCGTGAGAAAAAGGAGGAGGGAAGGAAGATGGCCAAAAGCGTCCCCTTCCTAATCCCATAAATGTACGAAAAACTCCTAAATAAGCCCCGATGCGTGTGGACGTAAGGAGAGACTATACGAAAAGTGTGGGCCAACACCATCACGTGGCGGACAGGAACGAGAAAAGTAGACACAATAGGATACAGGTACGGCTTACTTTATCCACCGTCTGTGTTCTTCCTTGGCTGTACTTATGGGATCGAGCTAGAGAATGATGGGCAGAAAAAGTTGTAGGTATACGTAGGCACACATGAGTGTGTATGTTCGTATGCCTAGTACACCAGCGACGAGCTTTACCGGCAAATCCCATGAAAAACTATCGAGATACGTCTTGGAGCGACTATACGAGCAAGTCCACAAAAGATGTCACAAATTGGTCCCCCATTTGAAAAAAAAAAAAAAAAAAATTTACTCGTAATTTCATGTACTATGAGGGAAAAATCGTGGACACAAGTATCAGTCGAGATGACCCACTTTGTGTACGTGATATCATTTCATTTTAATCGTAAATGTGGCATTGCGAGCAAAATGGATGGGGCTCCCCGACGGTTCGACTAAAAACGGGGGGGCAAAAACAGGACATTTTTTTGTGGATTTCCTCATATATATATAATATACAAGTGTAACATTGACGACGTGACGACAGAAGCTAGTGCAGCTTGACGCTATCCGGGTATAAGCTTTTGCAAGGTACACGCGCGTGTTAGTCCACACGCATACGTGAGTATGTTATTACAGCAACGTAACGAGAGATAGAGAGCCGCCGACGTCATGGGATAGCGTGTAATGATGATGACACGCTGACGACGAGGAGGAGGAAGACGAGCCCTCTTTGTAGTTTATGTTTTGCGTAGACGACGCCATCGGGGGCGATGTACAAAAACAAAAAAAAAAAAAACAAAAACAAAAATATAGACTACAGCAATCTGTAGTTATAATTATAACGTAATGAAGAGTTGGAAAGTGCGTTCATTGGATGTGTATGCGTGTATTGGAGTTTTTGAAAAATTACGTGAGGAATCTGAGGGGGATCGGTATTGGAAACAATTTTTGACTTAAAAATGCACAAAAAAAATTAAAGTTAAGTCCTGTGGATACAAATTGCTCAATAAATATACGCTTCTATTTAATAACTAATTTCATTTGCAGCTCTATACTTTTTCTTTTTTTTTTTTACTTGGCGTAAAACAAAATTTCACCCTTCAAAATCGCTTGGAACGGGAAGCTTTGATGGGTTAAAAATAATAAATATTCCTTCGGCAGTGAAAGTTACGGGCGGTATTCGAGTTTCTCGTACCACCACACTTTTCAAGATATCTTTACCCGATGGGGGAGAAAATTATAGGATATGTCTTGGACGAAATTATAGTTAAGCCAGATTCTGGAAAGACAAATACTGCACAAGGAATTTGTCAAGTATTACTTGCCGTGCAAAAACATACTTTGTTTTCGAATTTTTAATTTACTTAGTCTCGTGATTTTTCAAAAAATTTTACATATGAGGAAATTCACAAAAAATATCCCGTTTTTGTCCCCCA